CACAACAGTCTGTATGAGTTGGCATATTAAAAAAAAATTGGATGAAAAGTCTATTTTTACCTGATTTAAAGATGATAACAGGAAGCCACAGGTAGGGGAAAGAAACTAGTGAAAAAGGGTCTGTTAAAATAGCAAGACATGGGAAAGTTAAAGCATAAAAGAGGCAATTGTAAAAGAAGCGAGGAATTATATTTAGAGAAAAAGAAGTACAAGAAAAGATTGTGATGGAGTGAGCGGATGGAGATATAATGAAATGCTAATATAGCAATTATAATTTGGGAGTAACTGTAAAAAAAAATATTTTCTTCTAATTTTTCTTTTTCCTTTTTAAACTTGACTCTAGCCAATCTTACAAAAGCATGATCCATACCTTGCAAGATAACAGAGTAGTACAATAATTACATTCACTGAACCTTTTCAGTTTGGATGGGGGTGGGGGGGTGAAAGAGAGAGGAGGGGGGGTGCAATAACTTGCATCAGTCTAGTATGATTGGGTCTGTGAGGTGTGGCTTTGTTAGGGCGTGTCTGCGTGGAGTGTGCCCTCTGCCTTAGATAGTTTCAGAAAATCATTCCACATAGTGTGTGCTTGTCTCATGAGTTTCTTTGTACCGAATTGGGTTGCAAAGATCTTTTCATAAACCCTCATGAGTTTCTTTGTACCGAATTGGGTTGCAAAGATCTTTTCATAAACCCAGTTGAGTGTTATTTGTTTTATGAGGAGCTCTTTGGTTGGGGCTACTGATTTTTTCCAGAGCCTTGCGATAACTGTGGTGGCCAATATGAGTACGTGGTACATGGCTATCCATATGGCTTTGGGGTCTTTTCAGGGCGGATGAATAGGATGCATAGTTCCAGGCTTAGTGATACCTGTGTGTGTACTATGTCTGATATAATATTTTGTACTTCGTGCCAAAAGGGATGGAGGGTATCACATGTCCACCATATATCTGTCATGGTGCCTATTTGATGTTTACATCTCCATCATTTATCTGTGGATTGTGGCCAAATGCGGTGGATTCTGGCTGGTACTAGGTACCAGCGGTACATCATTTTGCGTTGAACTTTCAAGTGTGTAGCGCAAGAGATTGTTCCCTTATGTGAAGAGTATGCTTTATCCCATAAGTCTCTTGTTATTATGCTCCCCAGTTCTTTTTGCCAAGATTGTATGTGTGTGTCTCTCGACGGGTCCGAGATCTGAAGGAGTAGTCGGTAGCTGATAGAGATCAATTTTTTGAGTGGTTTTCTATGTGTGCAGATAAGTTCAAATTCAGACATTGGTGTTTGAGGTTCGGTGTTGTGAGTGCAAGGTTATCTGCAGGTAGGGGAAGGTCAGTCTGGATGGGAGGTTATATTCTGTTTGTATGTCTGGGAAGGGACGGGGGCCTCCATCCTTATATAGCTGCATTATTTTGTTTATCCCCCTTGTATCCATGGTTGTTTATCCAGTGTTGGAATAAAGGTGGCCAAGGGCACTGAGAGGAAATGGACCAATTGGTGTTTGGAGGCATCCCAGTGTTGCAAGATGTGTTGTGTCGTGGGTAGCAGGTGTGTGGTGTCTGGTCTATGAGTATTGGGAGTCCAGAAGAGAGTAGGCCTTGCCCAGTAGTTTTCTATATCTAGCCACTGTGGCGGTTAGGGGCTCGTTTTTTTTTGTGGTACTAATGTCAGTGCTGCTGCTCGGTGGTACGCTGCTATATCAGGGAGACCTAAACCCCTTTGAATTTGACTTCTTTGTAGGAGTTTTGTTGCTACCCTAGGTTTCTTGTTCTGCCATATGAAGTTTATTAGCTGTTTCGATATGTTTTTTAGGGGGAATTGTAGCATTCTGTAGAGATATTCTAGTTTCGGTAGTGGTGACATTTTGATGGCAGCTATGCGGCGGACCCAGGACAGGTATTTCCTCTCCCAGGACTCGAGCGTGGTTTTGAAGACACTAGCTAGGGGGATGTAGTTGGTTTTAAAAAGTGTGGCAGGATTTTTTGTAATTTTTATGGCCAGGCATGTTAAATAGTCATCCTGCCAATACAGGGGAAATGACCCCCTGAGGGTTTCTAGTTGTGCATTGGGTTGACTCCCATCGCCTGTGTCTTGGTGACATTTAGTTTGTACAACAGGTATCCGTATGTTGTAATGTGTTTCATAAGGTTTGGCAGGCATATTTGTGGTTGTGTTAAGGTGAGGAATACGTCATCAGTGAATATACTTAGTTTATATTCTCTCTGGTTTAGTGACACACCAAGTATATATGGTACTGCTCTAATCCTGGCCACTAAGGGTTCCAATGCCCTAACATAAAGTAGTGGGGACAAAGGACAGCCCTGGCATGAGCCATTGGTTATTGTAAACCTGTCTGAGCAAAAACCCTCTCGCTGTTGGGTGGCTGTATAGGGCCTCTACCGTGTTTATGAACTGGATAGGGAAGCTGAATTTCCCTAGGACTTTTCTCAGAAATCCCTAGTTCAGCCTGTCAAAGGCATTCTCCACATCTAGTGACACGAGAAGGCCTCCCACACCAACCCTTCGTATGCTGGGTACCAGATCTAGTACTTTCCAGGTATTGTCAGCCTGTCTCCCTGCCACAAACCCCACCTTGTCGTGTGAATCAAGGAAGATAGTATGGAGCTTAGACGTCGGGCGTATATTTTTGCATATATAAATTGATGTCCGTGTTGAGTAGGAATATAGGTCTGTAGTTGGGGCAATGGGTCAGTGGTTTACCAGGTTTCGGGAGTGTAATGATGTGTACTAGCAGCATCTCTTCAGGGAGCTTTTTCTCCTGAGTAGCTGAGTTAAAGAGTGATGCTATGGGTGAGTTCAGGGTTGTTTTTAATTTTTTGGAGTAAAAATTTGTAAGCCCGCCTGGGCCTGGGGCTTTGTTGGTTGGTAAGGAGTGTATGGCATCTTCCACTTCTGTGGTCGTAACAGGCAGGGGTCAAGTCCTGGGGGAAAAAGTGTGGGAACTCACCCAAGATTCCCGCCTCCCCCCCACCCCTTAAAAAAATAAAATAAATAAAAATTACACTCCTATGCATATAGTGCAGTGCGTGTATAATGAATGTAGTGTGTTTGTAGTGAATGCAGTGTGAATAATAATTGTAGTGTATTTGTAGTGAGTGCAGAGTGTGTATAATGAATGCAGTGTGTTTTTAGTGAGTGCAGAGTGTGTATAATGAATGTAGTGTATTTGTAGTGAGTGCAGTGTGTATAATAAATGTAGTGTATTTGTAGTGAGTGCAGTGAGTATAATAAATGTAGTGTGTTTTTAGTGAGTGCAGTGTGTATAGTGAATGTAGTGTTTTTGTAGTGAGTGCAGAGTGTGTATAATGAATGCAGAGTGTGTATAATGAATTTAGTGTGTTTGTAGTGAGTGCAGAGTGTGTACAATGAATGCAGTGTATGTAGTGTGTTTGTAGTGAATGCAGAGTGTGTATAGTGAATGTAGTGTGTAGTGAGTGCAGAATGTGCATAATGAATGCAGAGTGTGTATAGTGAATGCAGAGGGTGTATAGTGAATGTAGTGTGTTTGTAGTGAGTGAAGAGTGTGCATAATGAATGCAGTGTGTGCGTGTGCTGGATGATGTGTGTGCGCGCGCTGGGTGACGTGTGTGTGTGTGCTGGATGATGGGTGTGTGTGTGCGTGCTGGATGATGGGTGTGCGTGCGTGCTGGATGATGAGTGTGTGTGTGCGCTGGATGATGGGTGTGTGTGTGCGTGCTGGATGATGGGTGTGTGTGTGTGTGCTGGATGATGTGTGTGTGTGTGCTGGATGATGTGTGTGTGTGTGCTGGATGATGTGTGTGTGTGTGCTGGATGATGGGTGTGTGCGTGCTGGATGATGGGTGTGTGTGTGCGTGCTGGATGATGGGTGTGTGTGCTGGATGATGTGTGTGTGTGTGTGTGTGTGTGTGTGTGTGTGTGTGCTGGATGGTGTGTGTGTGAGTTGGATGTGTGTGAGTGCTGGATGATGTGTGTGTGTGCTGGATGATGGGTGTGTGTGTGTGCTGGATGATGGGTGTGTGTGTGGGTGCTGGATGAGTGTGTGTGTGTGTGTGGATGGTGTGTGTGTGTGTGCTGGATGATGTGTGTGTGCTGGATGGTGTGTGTGTGTGTGTGTGTGTGAGTTCTGGATGATGTGTGTGTGAGTTCTGGATGATGGGTGTGTGAGTTCTGGATGATGTGTGTGTGTGAGTGCTGGATGATGGGTGTGTGAGTTCTGGATGATGGGTGTGTGAGTTCTGGATGATGTGTGTGTGTGAGTGCTGGATGATGGGTGTGTGAGTGCTGGATGGTGGGTGTGTGAGTGCTGGATGATGGGTGTGTGATTGCTGGATGATGGGTGTGTGCTGGATGATGTGTGTGTGTGAGTGCTGGATGATGGGTGTGTGAGTGAGTGCTGGATGATGTGTGTGTGTGAGTGCTGGATGATGTGTGTGTGTGAGTGCGTGCTGGATGATGTGTGTGTGAGTGCTGGATGATGGGTGTGTGAGTGCGTGCTGGATGATGTGTGGGGGGGGGGAAGCATTTTTTTACTTTATGTATAATATTTATTTTATTCCCCCCTCCCTGCTTCTTACCTTGTCAGGGAGGGGGGAGATCACCTGGTGGTCCGGTGGAGGGAGCCAGCCGCTGCACAGAGGGGCCATCACACGCTGTGTTCCTTCTCCAGCTCTAACTCTCGCGAGACTCGCCTGTGCGGAGCATTGCCATGGTAACAGCCGCGGGTCTCGCGAGAGTTATAGCTGGAGAGGGAACACAGCGTGTGATGGCCCCTCTGTGCAGGTAGCAGGGCCGGTCCTGCAGGAAGGGTAACGGGAACGGCGTTCCTGCTTTGAAAAAAGTGCAGGAACGCCGTTCCCATGCGTTCCTGCAGGACTCGAGCCCTGGTAACAGGGCCCTGGAGTGTGGTGACTTGGTCCGCGGTGAGGCTAGGTAATGAGGTGTTTTGGAGGTAGGTTGCAGTTTCCTGATCAGTTGGTATATGCATTTGGTCAGATTGCGCAAGGTTATAGAGCTTTTCATAGTACTTTGCGAATGTATTGCTTATGTCTATAGGTGATACTACCTTTGTGTTGTTGGGAGTGTATACATATGGTATTTTGGTGTTTGCCTCTACTTGTTTCAGTCTGGCTGCTAATGTTCTGCTGGCTTTGTTTCCTTGAGTGTAGTGTGTGGATTTAAGTGTGCGGAGGTTGTAGCCAACTTGTTGTAAGGTGTGTGTTTTAATTTTGTCTGTAATTTCCCTGATTTCCTTTTGTGTAGTCGCTGTCGGTTGTGTTTTGTTTCTATTCGTGAGGTCTGTCAGTTGTTTGTGCCAGGTCATCCATTGGGTTCAATGTGTTCATTTTGTGTGGGAGGCTTGCCTGATTAGGAGACCTCTGATTAAAGATTTATGTGCCTGCCATGTGGTGCTGATGTCTTCTGTTTTGTTTATTTTAAAGAATTTGTCTATGGCTTTTTCATTGTCTTTTGCGAAGGAGTGGTCTCACAGTAGGGACTTATTGAGTCTCCAGGAGCTCTTGTGCTTGTAATCGTAGCTATCTTTGTGGGTTATTGTCTGGGGAGCATGATCCGACCACGAGATATGTCCTATGGAGCATCCAAGGTATTTGGTATAAGTGTCGGCCATCGACATGGAATCTGTCTATTCTGGTCTTTGTGTTGTGGGTGGGGGAGAAGTATGTGTAATCCCTCTCCTGTGGGTGTAGGACTCTCCATACATTGTATAGTCTGTGTTCTTCCAGCAATTTGAGGTAGTTTGTGCACGCTTTTTGTTGTTGGGCTCATGTCATTCGGGGTGCATGTGTTGTGGTATCCCATCCAGGCTCTAAGATGTGGTTGAAGTCACAACACAGAATCATTATTCCCTCCTGGACTGGTCAGAGGAGGGTCAGGATTTTGTGCAAGAAGTTCCTCTGATTTGTGTTTGGGGCATACACATTGGCTATTGTGTATTTGTTGTTGTTAATCGTGCATACCACTATGAGGTGTCTAACTTTGGGGTCTGCGTGGGATGAATGGTGTTGGAAGGAAACATTGTTGCTAATCATAATTGACACTCCTCTGGCATTCTGCCCTGATGTGGTGTGATACTGATGTGGGAATTGGGATGGTTTGATGGTGGGTGGCGTCTTGAAATGTGTCTCCTGGAGGCAAAGCACATCAGGCTGAGCCAGTTTGAGGTCCCTAAATAAACAGTGTCTTTTGTATGGGGTGTTTAGACCCCTGACATTATGGCTCTGTATTTTCATACTGTGGTCGGTAGGGTGAGGCTGCTAGCGTATATTTTTGTTGTACTAGGTATGTGTGTGCTTCCAAGGTCATTCCCCTGAATCATTCTCTTGCTAACCTTCACAAGATCTAGCGGAGTTGCGTGTTTCTGAGTTTGGCTAGTGGACAGGTTTATAGAGGTTTGCCGGCTCTAGATGACTCCATGAAGGGGTCTCTCTGTATTCTTGGCCAGTTAGAGTTATCTATCTCAAAGTGGGTGGGGGGGGGGTTGAGGTGGGATTTTAGGGGAAGTAGTTATCACTACTTCAGCCCATATGTGGGGAGTGTATCCGTACTTTGGTACCTTGTTGGAGCGTTGTTACGTGAGAGTAAGGATAATATATGAGTACCTCGGCCCTGTGCGTTTACTATGACCAAGTTCATCTGCCTTCACATCCCTGTATTAGTTTCTATGTCCGTGTAGCCTGTTCCAGGACATGTGTTTCGCGGCTTTTACGTGCCGCTCATTTCAACAGAGAACATTGCATAACAATAGCATTGCATAACCATAACATTCAACATTGTCTAGACTGGTGCAACATACTCTACATACCATAGTGTATGGTGTTTACATGCATGTGTGTGTGAGTGGTTGTTTGGGTGGTACTTGTGCTAACTCCCCGCAGGCTGCCATTATGAGGAGGCCTCGCGGTGGTGCGCTAAGCGTCAATATGTTGCGGCATTCTGTCTAAGCCTAGTTCGCCTAATTTCGTAGTGGCACATTGTTTAGGAGCAACTTAATAATCAAGTAGCGTAAGTATTACAGTATTAAGGTGTATGGTCTAACTCATGCTATTCCATCATTACCTTCATCATACCCCAGTGCAGTGTTACATGCAGGGCAGTATACTCACTCAGGTGTCATTTAATCTTACGCCCTTTCAGTAATAACATTCAACATTTCCTGGTGGTGCCCCACAGTTAGTACGATACCTTTGCTTAGTTGTTGGTTCTCTGACACCTTTAAAATGGAAGTGTTACTGGGGAGTGATGTGTATGCATCTGGTGTTGTAAGCTTGGTGTTGTGGGGTTTCAACCTCCATGTGCTTCCTTTGTGGGACTTGGTGGTGTGCGTGCGTGTGAGAGGGTGATTGGGTAGTGTATGTGTTGTCTCCCTTTGGGTCTGCACTGTGGGTAGGCTTCATGGTGGTGTTGTAGGCCTCAGTATCCAGTGTCTAAGTCTAGAGTTACAGTTCCTGTAATGGTGCATTAGCTAGGAGTCACTAAGGTAAGTAAATAGTTCAATTAGTGTTGCGTTAGGGCGTATGGTTAAACTCACGCCTTTTCAGCTATTATAGTGAGTCTGGGTTAGGTGTCCTCTCGATCCCGGGCGGCCGGTCGACAATCTCAGGTGCGTGCCTTCTTCCATTCTAGTTGTAGCCTAGCAGGTTGCCTGTGTGTGTTTGGATGCCCCATCTTCTCAAGGTTTGCCTTCCTTCTTCTGGGGTGGCAATGGTATGCATAGTCCCGTTTCTGTGGACGAGTAAGTGGACTGGGTGACCCCAACGGTAGGGCACGTCTCATAGTCGGAGAGCGTCTGTAACATCTTTGAATTCCCTCCATTTCTGCAGGGTAAGTAGAGCTGCATGGAGTGGTATTAAGCAGGAAGGTCCTTGCGCTGTCTGGACGCTTTCATCAGTGCTTCCTTTGTATGGAAATAATGCAGGGATTCTTCCTCCTGGATCTATCCTTGAGGTCCATAAGTTCGGATTGGCAGGATTCACATGTCTATTCTAGTTTTTGGACGTGGTTGACCATGTCATTGTGTGCCTCTGCGTATTCCCCCATGCGGTGTTCCATGCAGGTTGTCCTTCCCCCATGCTCATGGACGTATTTCCGCAGGTCTGATATCGACCTATTAAAATTGCTCAGCAGCTTAGCCGACATTAACTCCAAGCAGGCTTGAAGATGTGTGATAGGCAGGCCTCTTGACCCTGGGGAGCAGGCCCGGACTGGCCATTGGGCACACCGGGCAAATGCCCGGTGGGCCGCGGTGGCCATGGGCCGAGGCCGGCAGGGGAGATCCCAGGACATCCCCTTCCGGTCTATCCAGGGCCGGCACTATCCGAGCGCCGGCCCCGCTGTCTTTCATGTAGGGCCGGTGGGGAGATCAAAGAGCTCCCTCACCGGCCCATTTAAACAGACCTGCGGCTCGGGAGGGAGAGGACCCGGCGGAGCGCTAGCATGCAGCTCCGCCAGGTTCCTCTCGCGAGATCCGGAGCGTTGCCATGGCAACGACCGGATCTCGCGAGAGTGAACTCTAGCCAACAGGCTAGAGTTCACTAACCACTGGACCACCAGGGATGATGAGTACCCCCCCCCCTCCTCCCAGATACCACCGTGCCGGACCCCTCCCAGGCTAAAAGTAAGGGGGGGGGGAGATATAATGCTTTTTTGTTGTTGTTTTTTTTTACCCTCCCAACACACAATCACTTTTAACATTCACACACAGCAGTCTCACACACAGCAGTCTCACACACATCACCCTCAGCACTATCACACTCAGCACTATCACACACAGCACCCTCACACACATCATACACAGCATCATCACACACAGCACCCCTCAAACACAGCATCCATCACACACACATACTGCACCCTTCACATACACACTACACCCCTCACAGACACCCACTGCACACCTCACACATACA